GAAAGAGTGGCTTGGGGAGTAATGGCTTCTTATAACATGGACTGTGACTGTCAATTTAGCTTGAATGCCCTAAATTACAATTTAGTACCCCCCTACAAGAAAACAAGTGTTCCTGATGTTGTAATCTCCTATAGACCACCTTACAGTGTGTTTGTCCAAGCCTTGCATTTCTGACATGGGAAAATGTAATGTTTACTGCTTTTCTGCCCACAGGTGCTTCTGTTCTGAATGATTGATGCTGTATCGCAAACATTACAGAAGTACAGAAGATACATCACAGCATGTCTTGTCATTGACTAATGATACAACACTCAAGGAACTGGCCTCTTGCAGAATCTGTTTCACATTGTATTTTATGAATGTTGCATTTACAAATAATAACAAACTCAGTTCATCAGGTCAGAATGCTCTCACAGTTGTGCACAGTGCCACTGATAGGAGGGAACAGAAAATAGGTATATAGTTTAATTGCATGGCGTTTATTTCTTAAACTTGCAGAAGTGCATTATCATAGCAAGGACTGTTAGATTTTTCTGGATTGAAAATAAAACTTCCAAAGATGCCAACAGCGATCCATGAAAAGCAGACAGTTTGCTTTGCACATTTTTTTCAAGAGGGTGTTTTTTGGTAGATGAAGGGAAGATTTAACAGTTATGGGACAAACGTAGAATTTATTTAAACTGCTGCTTGGGAGAAGATGGCTACTGACTTCATAGGACTTAGTCTGAATAAGAACTGTGATAATACCTTAGTATTTGTCTAATGTTTTTCATAGTCTTTCCCTTATCTCTGCACCATATTTAGACATGTTTTCATCGTATAGCAGATCCTGAAATGTGGTGAGACTTCTAGTTTCCTCCTCTAAGCTGATGAATACATTTCAGTCCTCCCTATGCATAACATAGGATAGCGTCCAAATATGAAGTCATCTACTTCCTAGGCCATCTGCATCATATGCCTTATTTTAGCCTCTTGATGTGTGCACGGCACATAATCAGACATCCAACTGTAAGAGTTCAAGTATTTCTCACTCTGGGAAAATGTAAACTTGTCCTCTCCACTTCAGAGTAAAACAGGTTATCTTAAATCCCATTTCATGCTTTTCACATCTTTACAGATTATAAAATACAGCTGAAAAGAGTTGTTTGCTGACATCTCAATGCTCAGATTCACAGCTGATGTTTTCTAAACTTCACATGCTTCTTCTTGGACTTTGGTCCATGTCAGCTAAATTCCTGGGATTGCTATTCTTGGGTATAAATCATCCTTAGCGTTGCGAAAGAAGATCCATTGAGAAAGGGATTATGCAGGACTAAGAAAAAAAGATCATTCTTGCCAATCACCCTGAAACAGGCAGAGAGTAAGGCTGGAGATAGGAATTAAGTGTTAATTTCCTAATCTTATATGAGGTACAAAGCACCTGGCCATCAGCTAGCAAAATGGGGAAAAATACAGTCAGTTTCTCAGTCAGCTACAGGAAAGGAGTGGGGAGGTCAATGAGTCTTTGAAGTCAAAGTTATTGTGAGGACTGGGACTTCGGGGCAATTGCCCCGGTTCAGGCCCTGGCGGGAGGTGAGGCTCCCCCTCAGAAGGGCAGGGAGCCCTAGGGCCTTTCCCATTTTCCTTCTTGCTTATTGCCCTGCCCTGAGACCAGGACTGGCTCAGCCACAGAATGTTTGCAAGAAACTTTGCTCTTCTTGACATCTCCAAAATAGGCTAACGCTGCTGAGAGCAGCTGCCCAAAGCAGTGACTCGCGTTAAGAGGTGCCCCTGTCTTTCCCAGCAAGCAGAACGCTCTCTAGCTGAGTTAGGTGACCATTCCTCCTTCGGTGGGTGGGTTGTCAGTACCTGTGTGTCAGGTGAAGCACCGCAGCTGCTTTCCAGACCGGGCTCTTGAAAGTCGTAGAGAGAAAGAAGGGCTGTAAGGGCACAAGTTGTCATCCTGGGTTTTTGCTCCCTGCTTTTCCCTGGTCCCACAGCTCATTTTCTGCCTTTGAGCTTGCAGGTAAAGGCTGAGAGCTGGATTGTGTGGATGCGTGTAGACTCGCTGACTCGAGACAAGATTTTCTGTCCATGCTAGAAGCAAGTCTGCAAATGCAGTCCCAGACGAGCCCAGGCCCTGTCCTCTGCAGTGCACTGCCACCACCTTCCCTGAGCCGCTCCTGCGGTGCAGTAAGCAGTTATCTTCTTGTGCGGAGCTCATCCAGACAGTTGGCAGATAATCTGCTTGCAAGGTAGCCATATGTATGGGGCATGGGCAGATTATGGAAGTGAGGACCTGACCACTCATACAGCTGTCTGTCAAAAGCAGCACGGACAGAGTCATTGCGTGACGTATTTTGGGAGACGCAGATCAGAGGAATCCGATGAGGAGGAACCTAACACAGTGGCTTTGCAAAGACGCTGCTGGATCATAAAAGTATTTAAAAGTTGGCAGGTATTAGCCTGGGCGTCCAACTAAAGAGGGGTTTTAAAGCCTGTAAGTTGTGTGCAGAAATGCCCTCCATTTCCATGGAAGACACCTCCATGAGCAAAGCAGGGCAGTGGTGTCTCTGGTGGTGTTGCTTGGAACTGGGAGCTGGAAGCTTCAGTCCTGCTCCGGGCTTCCACCTCACTGCATGGATTACTTGGGAGAAAGGAACAGCCTTTCTGTTCCTCTGTCCCATCCACCACACAGCACACTGAGACCTCCTGTGGCTCAAAAAGCACTCCTTAAAATCCATAAATTGGCAGGTGCTGTTTAAAATATTATAATATCTGAAAGGTTGAACACCACCATTTGTTTTCATAGACAATATTGGATAGCTTCAGTCATTGTGCATAGCACGGAGGTCAACAAATGTGAGATGAGGATATACTGCAGCGTCCGTTGCACGCTAGATTTGCCCTGTGCTGCCTGCTTGCAAATCCATTCAGATGCCTGTGAGGATTTTCTGCTAATAAATTAACATGATCTACTAGAATGTCTAAGGGAAATCCCTTTAATTATTGCCTGTGGGTCATTAACTTTAGCAAGAGTGACTGCCCAAGCATGGGTAAGGTGTGAGCAAGCACAACGCACCTGAGGAAGAGAAGAGTTTCTGTGCTGCCTGTTTAGGAGGAAGGACCAGGACCCCCACTGTGACACGTTGAGGGTAAGCCTAGGGAGAACATCGCTGCCTTTGCTTCAAATTAGTAAATGAATTGCACTCAACACTTATTCATCACTCCAGCAGAAACAGCTAACACAGCAGCATATAGTGCCTGTGAGGAAACACTGGGGTAGTTTGGGTACCATGAGCGCTTAAATAACTGCGCTGATAGGATGTAGCACACTATGGGGGCCGAAAATCACTGCTAAGCAGCATGGTGCCTTGCACTCCAGGGAATTCCTGGGTCTAGGACCAGAGCAAGCTGTTAAATAGCCACAGACGCTGTATGTCTTTTCCTGACTTACTGATGAGTTGTCACACCGGGTCGGGAAGGCACGGCTACCGCTAGCAGGTAACAGATGGAGCCTGCTGCTCTGGCCTTTCATTGCACTGGGATTTACACCAAGCTGAAAGCATCTGAGCTGAACACCAGCTTGGGGCACTCAGTGCAGCTCTTATAATATACCCCCCTTTCAGGTGGAGCACCAAACTCCTAAAGAAAGAGAGACCCTCCTCTTGGCAATAGGCTATAATTTTTTCCTGGATTTGGTGCTGTTGTGAGGCTGTGTGAAAGGTGGGTATGCTCCCACGTACCTTTTCACTTGCAGAGAAGCAACGGAAAATGGGAAATGTGCTCTGAATCATTACCAAGGAAAAACCGAAGAATTAATGTTAACAGCAAACTGTATTTCGCATGTCATTAGACCTCACTGATATAATCAAGCTGGTTTTATTCCATAGATGCCGCTTTGGCCTGTAATAGGATGAATAGATCTCCTGTTAATGAAGTGCATGCAAGATACTGCCGCGGTAAGTGTGCGCTTCTTGCCAGAGCCCAGGGCAATGAACGTAGCATAGTAATTACAGCTTTGGGAGGGGTAAAGTTTTGAAGAATATGTAGCATGCAAGCTACAGGTAAATAGCATGGCTCGACAGGGCTGGAGAGACAGCTCAATTCCAGTCAAAATCAGTTCACGCATTCACAGTGTCTACCAGATTATGCTCTCGTTTATGCTGTTGGAAACCTCAATGTTAACATCAGGATTTATTCTGAATTTATGCTTTTGGGAACATAGTCCTTTGTTTTTGCAAAGGAAAGTGGGTAACATAACTTAAAATGAATATATGTAGGAACCACTGATGAATTGTTATCTTTTCCTTTTGGACAGGGACAGACAAAATTTTGCAGTAGAAAAAGCCAGCTAGCATCTGCACTGAGCAGGCACATGAGCCAAAAATCATTGCTCAAAACATCATTTTGGGGTGAGTAGGTAGAAATCAGTGGGTCTGGTCCAGTCCTATGAGGACAGCAGCCCACACATATCCATGAGAAAGACCTAACTCATTCACAGTTCTAGTCAAAAGGAAGGGCCTCTTCCTCAGGCACTTTAAAACAGGCCAGTGTTGCTCTACCTCGGTGTTTAATGGGAGCCTTTTTTCCATTGTAAACTTCACATGAGCCGTTAAGGAAACAAGAGCCTACATCAAGGGACATGTGCTGCCCCTTGGGCCTCTGCCCGGGGTGAGAAAGAAAACAGCACGTGCTTCTGTGCCACAGAAAATCTTTATTGGAATCATATCCAAAGGACCCAGACTTCTGTGCCTGTCCTCCCCCAAACCTACTGCGAGCGCTGACCGGACACCACGAGCATCAGCTCTGGCTCGGCAAGCCGAGGCGGGCAGCCCTGAGCCCTTCGCCTCCCGTCCCGAGAGCGGGTGTTAGGGCAACACAGACCTGCTGGCAGGACGCGACGGGAATCCCAGGCACCACCGCAGCC